CTGTAAAGACTACATCCTAGGAAACCCTTTGGGGTAGTTCTACTCTATCACATAGGGTCATTATGAGTTGGAATCAGCTTGATGGCACACAACATTTTCCCAATAGAGTCTCTGGGTGGTGCAAACAATTAAGTACTGAAGGAAAGCTGGCTGTTTGAAACTTCTGAAAATCCTACAGAATGCAGTTCTACTCTGCACATGTGATGGCCATGAGTCTGAACTGACTCAACAGTAACTAGTTGGTTTATTTATTCCTCCGACACTGTTCCTGAGATCTATATAGCCTTATATATATACTTTTTTTGTGTGTATTCTGTAGTCTATTTTATTGCTCCATTAAGTTGCAAGGTCTACCTCATTACTGTATTTGCACAATGGTCATCCTTACTTACTTATCACACCGTATTTGACAGATGAGAGAGCAGGGGCCTTAATTATATGAGTAAATGTGTTTTTCCTTCAAGTTTCTAAATTTTCTCTAATTCCTTATGTTCTGGTTACCTAGTACTGCTCCAACAGGAAATATGCCAGATAGGATGGCTGAACAAATAAAGAGTTTATTCTCAGTTTGGTGGTTTTAAGTCCAAGTTCAAAGTGTCAGCCCCTCAACCTTGGGGTCCAGCTCTGTCTCCTGCTCCCAGCCCTACTCAGACAGTTGCTGGCTGCTGAGGCTGAGAAGCTCAAGGTTGACAAGTAAAAAGGCACAGTCCTGATGTTACCAAATCACATGGCAGGCCATTAATTTAAGTCCATTTTAAGTCCCAAAGTTGGCAGAGCATGGCAGGCTGCTGAAGAACAACACAGCTACATGCAGGGTCCAAGTGTGCCATAAGCTAGACACCATTCCCAAGGCTTCTCCTTATATACAGGAAGTAGACCACATCCCAAAGGTAGCTATTCAGCTGCTTGTGGTAGATCCCACCATGGAGTTGATTGCCAGTCTCATCATGGGGAATAACTACCACCAGCTGCCCAGCCACTCAACCAGGCCCAGCCAAGTTGACACACACACATAACTACCACACCTTATTAAAAAAAAAAAATAATTATCTCATAATTATCACTATTCCTTTTCTAGGACCAGAAAAGCCATCATTAGAAAAATATGCAAGTAAATATAGTTTAATACTTTCTGGGTGGTATTACTATACCATATATATAATAAACATCCAATGGTTGGTAGACCAGTTAATACTACTATTATTCAAATTAATGCCACAACCATCAAAGCCAAAGATGAAAAAACTGAAGATTTTTACCAACTTTTGTAGTCTGAAACTGACTGAACATACAATTAAGATGTGTTGATTATCATTGGTGATTCGAATGCAATAGTTGGAAACGAAGAATCACCGGTAGTTGGAAAATATGGCCTTGGTGATAGAAATGTTGCTGTAGATCGCATGACAGAATTTCGCAAGACCAATGACTTATACATTGCAAACACCTTTTTTCAACAATGTAAAAGGCAGCTATACGCATGGACTTCACCAGATGGAGTACACAGGAATCAGATGGAATACATCTGTGGCAAGAGGTGATGGAGAAGCTCAGTATCTTTAGGCAACACAAGGCCAGGAGCTGAATGTGGAACAAAAGACCATCAACTGCTAATATGCAAGTTCAAGTTGAAGGAGAAGACAACTAAAATAAGTCCATGAAAGCCAAGATATGACCTTGATTATATCCCTCCTGAATTTAGAGACATCGAAAGAATAGACTTGATGTATTGAACACCAATGACTGAAAACCAGAAGAACTGTGGGTTGACATCAAGAATATTATCCACGAAGTAAGCAAAAGGTCATTAAAAAGATAAGAAAGGCAGAAAAGACCAAAATGGATGTCAGAAGAGACTCCGAACCTTGCCCTTGAACAGAGAGTAACTAAAGAAGACGGAAGAATCAACAGGATAAAAGAGCAGAACAGAAGATTTCAAAGAGCAGCTTGAGAAAACAAAGTCAATTATTATAATGAAATGTGCAAAGACCTGGAGTTAGAAAACCAAAAGGGAAGAATATACTCTGCATTTCTCAAGGTGAAAGAACTGAAGAAAGAATTTAAGCCTTGAATTGCAATACTGAAAGATTCTATGGGCAGTATGTGGAATCATGCAGGAAACATCAAAAGAAGATGAATGGCATATACAGAGTCACTATACCAAAAATAATTGGTCAATGATCATCCACTTCAGGAGGTGGCATATGATTAAGAACCAATGGTATTGAAGGAAAAAGCTGAAGCTGCACTGAAGGAATTGGCAAAAAAGGAGGCTCTGGGAATTGACGGAATACCCAATGAGATATTTCAACAAATGATGATTCACTGAAGGCACTCACTCAGCTATGCCAAGAGATTTGGAAGGCAGCTACCTGGCCAACTGATTGGAAGAGATCCATATTTGTACCCAGACCAAAGAAAGGTGATCCCTCAGAATGTGGAAATTATCGAACAATATCACTGATATCACACACAAGTAAAATCTTACTGAAGATAATTCGAAAACAGTTGTAGCAATATATTGACAGAGAACTTCCAGAAATGCAAGCTGGATTCAGAAGGGGACATGGAGCAAGGGCTATCATAGCTAATGTCAGACGGATTTTGACTCAAACCAAAGAATACCAGAAAGATGTTTACTTGTGTTTTATTGACTACGTAAAAACATTTGATTAAGTGGATCATAACAAATTATGGGTAACACTGAGAGAAGAACGGGAATTCCAGAAACTTAATTGTACTCATGAGGAATCTGTACATAAACAAGGAGGCTGTCATTCCAACATAACAAGAAGATACTGCATGGTTTAAAATTAGGAAATGAGTGTGTTGTATCCTTTCCTCATATCTGTTCAATCTAAATGGTGAGCAAATAATACAAGAAGCTGGTGGAGTATATGAAGAAGAACAGGGTATCAGGATTGGAGGAAGGCTCATTAACAATCTGAGATATGCAGATGACACAACTTTGCTTGCTGAAAGTGAGGATGACTTGAAGCACTTACTGATGAAGATTAAAGACTAGAGTGTGCAGTATGGATTACACCTCAGTATAAAGAAAACACAAATCTTCACAACTGGACCAATAAGCAACATCATCATGGATGGAGAAAAGACTGAAGTTGTCAAAGACTTCATGTTACTTGGTTCTCCAATTAACACCAAAGGAAGCAGCACTCAAGACATCAAAAGACGTGTTGCATTGGACATATACATTGCAAAAGACTTTTTTCAAGTGATGAAAAGCAAAGATATCTCCTTAAAGACTAAGACATGCCTAACCCAAGCCATGGTATTTTCAGTCACCTCATATGCATGTGAGAGCTGGACAATGAATAAGGAAGACCGAAGAAGAGTTGATGCTTTTGAGTTGTGCTGGCAAAGAATCTGAAAGTACTATGGACTGCTAAAAGAACTAACAAATCTGTCTTGAAGAAATGCAGCTGGAATGTTCCTTGGAAGCGAGAACGACCAAACTTCATCTCACCTACTTTGGTCATGTTGTCAAAAGGGACCTTTCTCTAGAAAATGATGTCATGTCTGGTAAAGTGGAGGGTCAACAAAGATTGACTGACACAGTGGCTGCAGTGATGGGTTCGGTTATAGTAGGGAGTGTGAGGCTGACATGGGACCGGACAATGTTTCATTCTGTTGTACATAAGGTTGCCATGAGTTGGAGATGACTTGAAGGCACGTAACAACCATCAGTATAATGCAGAAGCTAATAAAGTTAGCTATGCAATCTTAATTTGTAAAATGTTAAAAACAAAAATCCACCAGTGTTTCCTTTCTAAAGACAAAAGTTTTTGCAACACATTGTGCAAATGGGAGTTCACCATCTTTTTAAAAAACTTTAAATGATATAGGAAAACAAACCCTAGCCAACCACTTATATTAGGTGCTAAGGAGAGTGGGAGCTCTGGTAGCATAGTGGCTAAGGCACTTGACTGCTAACCAGAAGGCTGGCAGTTCAAACCCACCAGCCACTCCTCGGAAGGAAGGTTGGGCAATCCTACTTCCGTAGTGATACTGCCTCGGAAACCCAAGGAGGGGTCGCTATAAGTCAGGGCCGACTCGACGGCAAACAACAACAACAACAACAAGGAGAGTAGCAAAGGAAATAGAAGGCAACATCCCTATCCTTTCTAGAACATATCGTTAGCAAAAGATTCAGGAAGAAAATACAAAATACTGACAAACAAAATAGAAAACCTACATAAAAATGCATAAGCAACTTGTTCACACATACATAAACCAAACTCACTGCCATCGAGTCGTTTCCAACTCATAGTGACCCCCATTGGGTTTCTGAGGCTGTAACTCTTTACAGAAGTAGATCTCCCTGTCTTCTTTCAGTGCAGCAGCTGGTGGGTTTGAATCAAGTGCCTTATGGTGATATATAAATTAATAACTACACATACATGTATTTAATGTTACACCCACAAACCAAAAAAAAAACAAACCAACCTCAATGCCATGATGCTGATTCCGACTCATAGTAACCCCCTACAGGTTTCTGCAGTAGTCAGTCTTTATGGAAGTAGATTGCCCAGTCTTCTTTCCACAGAGTGGGTCATGGGTTTGAATTCCCAACTTTCTGGTTAGCAGTCAACTACTTTAGGCACTGTGCCACAAGAGCTCCTTGTTATACCCACACACAGGTACAAAACCAGACTCTCTCCTTCCCAGGACCTAAATTACCTGCATGTAGTTTTCAGGGGTTATTTTGTATTACTCTCAGTTCTACAGATTTTCCTACAATCACAAGAGAGTTCCACAATCCTGTTATCTTTGTCTACTCCCCAAACTCTGCTGACATAGAAAGTGTATTTCCTGCATGCTCACAAGCAAGAATAAAGAAATAGGTTATCAAATATAGTAGTCATTTAACAGGGCCACTGCAACCTCTCCCACATCTTTCCTTTCTTATTCTTATTCCCTATATTCTGTTCATGCAAAGAATTCCACCAACCACAACTCCTAAATCCACAACTACATACCTGGGAGCTGGGTTGCTTAGGCTCATCCATTCTTCCAGGAGACTCACTTCTGGCTCTGTGTCTTTCCGTCAAAGGAACAATACTGCCAGAGGGGCTAAATCTGTCAGAAGAGGAGCATAAAGGAAACTAACAGAAAAGTAGTGTCAAAGAATTTCAAAATGGCGATGTCTTTCCCCCTTTACCGAGTGGCTGAGGAAGGGGGAACAAACTGCTTAGCAGGGAAACTGAAAAATACTTTCACAGAGTAAATATACTATCTGATTTGAAATAAGATGTCTATATGAAAGGTCTGCCCAAATAAATTTAAGAAACACAAAATGATTTACCAGTTAAGACTCTAAGAGCTGGTGAAGCTGAAGCAAAAATATAAGCTTCTATCCTTACACAGGAGCCCCTGGGTGGCACAAGTACTTGACCACTAGCTGAAAGGTTGGTGCTTCAAACCTATGAAGACATGTTTCAGAAGAAAGACCTGGCAATGGCAATCTTCTAAAAGGTGACAGCCTAGAAAACTCAAGGAGTTCTATTCTGCACACATGTGGTCACCATGAGTCAGAAATGACTCCATCGCTACTAACCACAATCCTTACACAAGTATTAAGTGGTAGAACATAAAAGAAATCCAGGGAATGTAAATTAAAACTGGATCTATAATTTTATTTCTATGTAACAATTAGGTTTTTAGTTACCTCCCTCACCTCCCACGATAAAATTATATATTTCACGCTGCTGATATGGATCAAGGAGATTAAAATTTTCACATTTAAATTGGTATTACTTCTAATACAGTTCTAACACAGGGGAACATAAGTACTAGGCTTGACAATATTTTAACTATAAAGGTGACAAGAAGAAAAACACACAAATCAAGACAACCAATAGATATAGTATGTACTATCTGACCTCCTGTGGTATGTACATCTCTCAGGATAAGGTAAATACCAATGTAACAGCTTCTTCAGTTTTTGTTGTTCATGGAGCTAATTTTAACTTATTTTTAAGAGAGGAAAAGAACACCACCAATCAAATTGGTAATTCTTTCTTTCAACTGAGACTTCCTTTCAACTGATTTAAAGTTATTGGTATTTCCAGCTAAAAGAAATATTCTAACAACTGCAATATATGTGAAGGAGAAAAGTGAGGGCATAATAGTACTGGTGAAAAAAAGGAGACACTCAGGTCTGTGGTGGCAGTAGTCACTGCTGAACACAAACAAGGAAGCTATCATCAAATGATAAATGAAAAGAAGAACAAAAACATTTAATTAAAAATTTTTCTTTGGAATGACTGTATTTATACTAACATATGAAGAACAATCACTGCTGGTGCCATATTTTCTCCAGTCTGGCTGGCAGAGACAGAGAAAAATAAATAGTGCTACAAAGGAAAGTGAAATTCCCCAAGCCCACCTACCTGTGTGATAACATACCAAGGAAGGGCAATGCTACCAGGTTCCCCTGATGATCAGCTCCCTGCCTGGAATTCCAAGGAAGCCCTGGAAATTACTGATCCTAGTGTGGCTGCAGAAGCTATTCTGACTCATGGAGCGTCTACCTTTACCAAAAGTTCTTGCAACATTTTTGAATTATTTCAGGACTAGGAGCTTCCTGCTTTAAAAAAATAAGAATGCAAGTCTTTTGGCACACCTCCAGTTTTCCCAACAGCAACTTATTTGGCTAAAAACATTAGGTAAGGAAGACACTCTCTGTACTAGAGGGCCCACCTCAGTGAAGTCTGTACAACAGTCATCAGGTAGACAAACAAACAAACACTTACCTGTCAATTTCACTGCTGGTTGGCCGAGCCACCTTGGCTCCAGAAGACCCTAGAGCATAATTTTCCTGTCCTATAGAACCATGGCCCGTGGTGTCAATCACCATGGCTGTGACCTCCTCTGCACTACTCCCATCTTCTCCAGAAGGCTGATTCTCAGGCCCAAGCCACTCCTCCAAATTTTCAGTTTTGATATGTACTGCTCCAAGAACCCTAACTTCATCATCACTCCGAATCCCCCGGTCTGCTACTCCTGTCTCCACATACCACTGTCCTGCTCGGTTGATCCGAAGAATGGGCTCCCGGCTTTCTACATCAGAACTCTGTTCAATTATTTGAGGACTGATGGACTCCTCGGGGGGACTCAGCTCTCTGATATCCAGCACAGCACTAACCTGACCTCGCCGGTTTCCCTTTGGAGTATTATGTCGTGGGCTAAGGGAACGGTTTAGATTTGGTGTAACCCTATGAGACTCTGGAGGTCTCTCTTGATGTTTTGTCCTTGTTTGACTTAATTCGGCTTCAACCTCAGCCACATTAATTTTGAAATGAATGCCTTCTAGGATCTGCGTGCATTTGTCTATGATATGCTGCATCTGCAGAAAACTGGCAGCTGTCAGGTAGCTGATGATATCTGCTAGTTGCAGGCATATCCGTCCTGTATAACAGAAAGAAAGGAGCTGTTCAAAAACAGTAGGGTTCTTGATGACTGAAATGGAGACAGTACTCATCTCATTCAAAGACATGTGATCCCGGAAATAGGGGGAACTGGCAGCCAGGACCACTTTGTGAGCCCGAAATGCTTGTCCTTGCACATTGACCACAATATCACAGAGACGGCCCTGCATGCGCAGCTGGTTTAGATGGCTCAGGACAGAATTGCTGAAGTCAGGGATCTCCAGTTGTATGTTCCCACCTTTCTCCATGGTTGGGCCTGAGGGTGTGGGCAGGCATTCAACCCTGCTGAAAGAGGAAACCATATTCTTATTAGTAATTCTAATTTTATTCCCTTGGTGCTTTGCAATTCCAACTCTGCAATATAAAAATATGATTTGGTAAAATCTCAAAACTTACAAGTAAAGAGAGATAACTTCCTTACCTTTAGATGTGGAAAGAGAAGTGCACTTCCTTACGTTTAGATGTGGAAAGAGAAGTGCAAACAGGTTTTTTTCAGTCTAAGTTTCAAGGTAAGAGAAGTTAACACAAAAAAGCAATTGTTAGACTTCTAAAATTTCAGACTGTAACCATACTTTCCTTATTAAAAAGTCATACAACATCAAAATGGATAGAAAGTAACTAGAATAGAGGGGGGGAAAGCACTTAAGACTTTTTTTTTTTAAGTGTTAATCATAAGGTATTTGCAGACTGAATACAAAATTTCACAACTTTTTATACACTGATTGGACCTACCTCTTATTTTACTACATGGTTCATGTATAAAGTAACTAATATTCCATATGAATGTCAGCTAGTATTTCTAAGCCTGGGTCAGGGCCCCTACAAAAAGGGTCTGAGGCACACTCTAGGATGAGAAAAGTGCCATAGCTGTGTCAGGACTCAATAAAATTGGCAGAGAATTTGAAATTCACTTCTCAGAAGTAGGAAAGACCAGAAATCTGTGTCTATTCAAAGTTGGGAATTTCAAGATGATGATGATACTCTCTGAAATTCAGATACCCAGAGCTGGTAAAACAAATAAACAGAGCCATTTCCCAAGAATGGCCAAAACTTTTTACGACAGACTTTTTTTAAAAAACGCTGAAAAAGCCTGAAACTACATTTAATAGTCAAGAGTTGAGAGTACAGTTTTTATCAATCAATTGGAAGACACTGACTTGACAACTATGTGCATCCACCTAATCTATAAACTTCTAACGCATTACAGTTACCTCAGACCTGAAACTTCAAGAACTTATCCTGGTAAGTCATCCTTATGGTATTTACAACACATCAGTAAACACGGAAGTGTATACACTGCTTTCAAGAATCAACTTAGTCAATCTGACCTTTTTCCAAAGCGTTTTTGTTTGTTTTGAAACTTTTAATCCAATAAGAGCCTCTGTCGATGTCATCATGAATTCAGATGTGTTTATTTTGGAGCCTACAACAGCGCCTTTTTGTTTGCACTTTGCCTCAACTCCCCAGTGAGGAAGCCCCTGGAGTAAAAGTCTTTCTCTACCGTCGGCAGTGGAGGGGTGAGAGTTGTAAGAGGCAGAATCGGGAACAGAATGGGGTCGGCCACTCCGGTACTTGAGTGCCTTTCGTCTGAGTTGGGAAGCATGGGGAGAGGGGCGAAATGTCACCGAGGAACGTGGGAGGAAAGAGGAGCAAGACGTCGAGCTAGTGAGCGAGCACTCAGGTGAGAGTAAATGACTAGGAAGGGGGCGGCGCCCCGGGACCTGGTCCAGGAGGGAGGCGTAGGCGGGCGGGGAGCTGGCCTGGAGGTGGGTGTGTGTATCTGGGTGTGTCTGGGCTGCGGTGGGGGAGGGGGCTGCCCATCCCGTGGTCCTGAAGGAGGGGCCCCGCGAGGGGGCGGGTCCGGCAGTTCAGCCCGGCCCGGGGCCAAGAGGGTGGAAGGTCGCCCGGTACCTTGGGTGGGTGAAGGGAAGTGGCTGCGTGCCCCAGAAACGGGTTACGGCCTAAACGAAGAGAGCTGGTCCCAGTGCAAGGAAGCAGGACCAGGGTTCGGGGCCCGCGCCCAGTCGAGGAGCAGCACCTACCTCCGGGAGTGGAAATGGGCCGGAATGGGCCGAAACACCGTCCCGGAAGTGAAACCCCCCACCCCCTCCCCGGGAGCGGGCGACGTGCCGGAAGGAAATCACTCTCTCTTACACCGCCCCCTTCCCCCTCCCCCGGCGCTTTCCGTCCCTCGCGCCCCCTCCTCTCCTCCCCTCTCTTCTCTTCCTCCCCAGTCGGGAGGAGGGAGGGAGTCCTGCGTTAGGCGAGCAATAGTGGTTCCCGCCCACAAAGTAAGAGGGCGGGGCCAAAAGTGCTGGCGTTAAGGGCGGGAAAGGAAGTGGGACTGGAAGAGGAGGAGGAGGAGGAGACTAAAAGAAAAAGGAGGAATTCACTCAGACGCTAGTGGGGAGCGTGCGTCATGACGTCACGATAAAGACCTCTTATATACAGGTGCCTGGGCGCCATTTCGCTCTTTCCAGGTTAGGAATCGCTGTGTTTCGGCTTATCAGCTTCTGCTCAGTAAGTTCTTGGTCCGAGTCTTGCTCTCCATCCTTTATATAATTAGGATCGCTATTTCTAGGTACCATGGGAACTTTGCTGGCTCCGCAGGATTCGGATGGCACAGGATTGCGCGTTGGGTATGGGTGCGACCTCAGTGTAGCCACATAGGTTGCTCGGTAGTTTGTTGAGAAGTCTTTTTATTCGCGTGCACTGTCTGTGATGAAGCCTGTGTTGGTAGGGACATCTGAGACTTGATGAATGCCAACAGCTCTGATGGCGGCGCATGCCGGGCCGTTCGAGTTAGTATCCAGGGCCTGAGCCTCAGCAAGTTGTAAGGGCAGACGGATGGGTTAGTCCACGTGGTTATTTTAACCACTGCAGTGCACCAGTATTTGGATGAGTGGTTCTTGACCTTGGTGCGTTGCTCTTTTTTGAAACGACAAACATACCATCATGAAATTTCTACGTGACAGCAGACTGCAGAAATGGTCCTAAAATATAATATTTAGAAGGTCATTTTGACTAAAATAGACATTTAATGCCTGTAATCTTTGTCTCAGGAATGGTGCTAAGCATGGATGCACTGTGGCCTTTGGAATCTCCCAGTCAGGTAAGAGACCTAGGGAAAAGCGTAAAGTAAAAACCTGTTGCCTAGAGGTGTCAAGCCTGTGATGGTGTAAGAGTAGTGGACAGAAGGGATTTCTGAAAAATTGTGTGCTGAGGCTTAATATTTAGGCGTTGTTGAGTTACTGGCTGCGTAGGGTGTTTCTCTCTATATTGAATATTTTTGTTTTCCAGTGAGGTGCTCAGTTATGTACCAAAGAAGGATGAAAACAGCAAAGGTGAGTTCTTGAAACAACATAAAAAATAAAAGATTTGTCGGTTGAAAGTCATTGTATGTGCCACCATGATGACGTTTTATTTGCTACTCTTGACTGTGAGAATGACGAGAATTTTTACCACCATTACCTTAACTGAGGCACCCAAAATGGTATTTGGGGGATACAGAGATTGTACCTCAGTTAACATGGAGCTATTTTTTCCAGGTCTTAAAGAGCCTTAAGCACTGGCCATGGGTTAACAGGTGAGATCTTTTTTGGGGGGAGGGGAAGGGGAAGTTTATATTCACCCATCTTTTCAATTGTTGGTATAAGGAAATTGAAGAAGCCAAAGCATTGTTGAGCATTAAACCCATTGGGTTGCTTTACATTTAATGGTGGGAAACGAAGAAACATACTATGATTGCGTAGTTCAACAGATTGCACGAAGAGATTTACTGTTTGATGTGTCACATTAGTAAAACTGGTGGGCTGTCAATAGAAGAAGAAAAGTATCCGGTGTCTAACGTTTTTCTTTCTTTCTTTTTCTTTTTTAAGACGGCTGGACAGAAACGGGGAGCTCTGGTAGCCTAGTGCCTATGCTAACCAGAAGGCTGGTGGTTCAAACCCACCAGCCACTCCTCGGAAGGAAGATGGGGCAATCTATTTCCGTAGTGGTACTGCCTTGGAAACCCAAGAAGGGGTCGCTATGAGTCGGGTCTGACTCGACAGTACATAACAACAACAGAGAGAAATATTTGGAAGACAAAACGGTAAGAAAGATGATAATGCAAATAACCATATGTATCTTGGCAAACATGACAAAAGTATGGCAAAAGTGGGTTTCTTGGGTGTTGCATCACATATGCACCGTAAGACTTGGAAGCAGTTGTAACATGTGGTTGATGGTGAAAATACGATTGAGTGGGGTGTGCTGAATGTATTGAGTGTTGTATACTTGCCCTGTTACTGTTAAGTTAAATGCAAGCCTGTATGATGATAAGCATAAACTGACTTAATATGAAGGTCTTAATTATTAGCTCTAACTGATCTCAGGCTTGCTTTATTTTTTTAGGGAGAGGGTCAATCTTTTAGCTATCATAAAACTATTATTTCTTAGGTGGACCTGAGTCTCTGTACAAGCTTTATTTTTCTGGTGAGTGTTTATTAAAAATAATTATAATACACTAAATAATTATTGAACTATTAGCTACAGTTTAGTAGCTTTTCCTATTTAATGCATGCCAACATGCCTTTTCTTTGAGCATGCTTTTACCGGGGTTTACAGTGATGATTAAATGTCTGACCTGAAATGAGCATGTAGACAAATTTAATACTGAAGAGCCCTGTGTGACAAATAATTCTGGGTAGGAATTAAATAATTTAGCATTCTAATGCAAGGCTGTTTCTGTTTTAGCTCTGGTGTACATTTTTATCCACCGATGACTTGCTTGGGTAAGGACATTGAAACAGATTGACACCTGGCTTCTTAAAATTGTTTCTGAAATGTACTGGTCATGTTGACCACTTTAAAGAAAAGAAGGGCAATGTTGTGCCAAACAAACAGTGGAAGAACTTTGAAAAGTAAATACATTTTAGGATTAAACTGTTACACACCTAAAGTACTTTTTATTTTTCCAGGTGCAGATTGTGGAAAGTTTCAAGAGGTTTGTATTTATTGATCTTACATATTCCTAAGTGTATTCTGTTGATGATGTTTATAAATAATGGGAATCTCTCTGAAAGAGAATGAAGATTGTTTTTTTAAAAACTGAAACTATTTCCAAAAATGCTTAGAAGCTTAGAAATTTACCTATTATCAGCTACTAACTTTCGTAAAATCTTTGCAGGTATGAAGAGTTACTACAGAGGATGGCACATGTTTTGAGTAAAGGTATAGTAGTTTCGTGTTTATTTTTAGTTGAAGC